CGTTATAAACGCTAGTGAGTCAGATCAGTAATGAAAGGGGTGCCTTATTAAAAAAGTGCGGTACTGACCCTCCCCCGTGCCGGCGGTGTTGATTTTTAGTTGAAATTTCTTTGTCACGGGGGTGACTCATGTGGTATAAGTTTTTTGCGTCTGGCCCGACGCGCGCTTCTTTTGCTCTGCAACCCTTTTCGTCAATTAATCGATTGTCTATTCCAGATAGGGGTTGATGGATGTATTTAAAAAAAAAGAACACTCCCCTTTATAAATAAGTTTTTTCTTCGGGGAAAGGGAAACACCTTTGCTTGGCGTGATTATATAAGGAAGCATTTACGCGCGTGCCGCCGATTATTAATGGCGGGATTAATTGTCGGACGATTTATTTTAATTCTGGCACGCCGTCCGAAAAGAAAGGAAAATCATGCATCAGCACCTCTTATATAAAGAGAGGGACTTTGGCTTTTTTCTTTCTTCTCTTCTTTTAATCATCGGAAAGTTTCCCCAAGCGCTCTGCTGCAGTGGCGAGTAGCACAAAAGCAGGCGCCGAAAAAGGAAAAGTGCGACGTTTGAATTTTTATTAATCAATATTGCACGCCTTGTTTCCTTTTCCATTCGTCCGCGAGCACAAACAACTTTTGCAGTCAAAGCGGCCGAGATCGAGAAAGAGAGACGCCGAGGGTTGGCTTTTTTTTCTTCATTCAAAAGAAAAATGATATTTTTGTATACACGTCGTCTCGTTTTCTCATTTTTTACACGCGCCACCATCGTTACATTGAATATATATATATACATTCGCATAGAAAAGTATAAAAATTTGCCACGTCTCGGATTCGGTGGTCATGTCACTTTAACGATTGTGTGGCAGATGCATTAGATTGCCGGGCGATATAAAAAAAAGCTGCCGCGCGCGATACTCCGAACGCCCATAATATTATTTATTCCCTCGGCCGAAATTTGTTACACATAACACATTTTAAGCCTCATTGAGCTTCGGCAGCTTCGGTGCGGCCAGCCAGAAAAGAAGAAAGAGAGAGAAAAGGGGTTGGTCCGATTGCTGCGCAGCTTCCCGATGGAAAAATACACACTCCATATATTCGTGCACAAAGAGAGCCAAACACATCAGACGCACATACATTTTTCTTTTGTGTATCCGCGCGGCGGCGGTTTTGCTCTTTTTGTCCGGCAAACAACCCTTGCAAACAAAATATCACATCGAATGCTAAAAAGGGTCACTGACTGCCGCCAGCAGCCGAATCCCCACAAAATCCGTGCCAACGCCTCCACAACCGACGCAAATTTGGCAAATTAATCTAATTTCGTATATATACACATCGCTCTGCTTTTGACAAAGAGATTGAAAAGTATACTATATATTTTTCCAATTATCGAAATGGAAAAGCGACGGAAATAAATGTGGATGGCAAATCTCTCTGGCTTTTATATATTAATATATACGCATGTTTTTTGATTGCACGTCGGCAGTTTATCTCCGCGCGCGGCCATAAGCAGGATATTTATGTGTAAATTGGCCTCGTATTTATTTCTTTCCGCTGATATCTATATATCGGCGCGGAGATTGCCTCCCATGTCATTATGCAACTTTCTCTCTGCCTCCGCAATATTGTCCATCTCTGCAATTTTATATACACCCTTATACATCAGCACAAACCGAAAAGTTATCTCTCTTTCTCTTTTTCGCCCTCTCTTTCTGATGTTGCGCCCTCAAGCAATCGAACAGGAGTCTTTCTTCATTTCTCCCCATTTCTCGCTCTCTCTCGTCATATTGCGCAGTGGCTGCTGCTGCTGCTTGATTGATTAATTAATTTATTGACCAGCGGCGCGCATTTATTCAAGTTAAACGCGAGTCCGCGCGCCTCACTGCCTTCTCGAGAGTTTCATTTTTTTCTGCGCAACGCCACGGGGCGTCTCTCCTGTTCGACTTTGAAGGACCATGGGAAAGGGTTGAACATTGGTAAAATTTGTATAGTTTGCAGATGATTCACGAGAGGGTGGATGGGGGTGCGAGACTAGTTCACCCCGCGGTGTCCGCACATGTGCGAAAAAACGCCGGCTGCATATTATTATGTGATCGCCAGTGGAGATTTTTCTCTATTTATAAAGAGGCATCAATTGATATGCAAATTGAGGGCTCTTAATTAAGAGTTGAGAGCTGCGTGTAACTAGGGGTCATTATTAAACCCTTATGTTCACAGGGCTTACTATGCGATAAAACGGCGGGTTTTTTTCTTGAAAATTTGAAAATAATAATTCTTTTAGGGAATTTCGTATATTTCTTTTCCTCTCTTTCACTATTAAATATGTGAAATCATATCGCTCACACGTGAACGCACCGAGGATTTTAAAACGGCTTTTGACCCTCAACCACACCATGCATCAATTTATGTTTTGCACAGGGGGTGAGTTTTCTTTCTTCTTTTTTGAGCCGCTCTTTTGTGCGCTCTCTCGATAATGACTGCGCTGAAAAGTGCACTCGGCCGGACACACTGTGAAAAAAATTAGACGAGACTTCAATCACGGCGGCCGGGGTGATAAATAATCAGACACTCTCACTCCCACGTTATATGGGCAGACCATCTGACGTCCGTAGAGAGCAGCAAATATACACATTCGATATTTGGGCCAGCAGCGTCACACGCCAGAGAGAAGGGGTTTGATGTATGCAAATTCGATCGGCCCGGTCAGATGTGCCGCACGCCCTCCCGTGGCTCTTTTGTGTGTGCTTTTAGTCTGCACGGACGAGAGTATATAAAAGCAAGGATGCTTAATCTTTTCTATCGATATTCTATATTAAAATAGCCAATAATAATTTGAAAAGCTGCTCAAAGTTTCAAATATGAAAATATATAAGGATGAGATAAATTAGTTTTGTTTAAAAATTTTATTCCACAATTTAAGTTTTTATATAAAATTAAATTTAAAAATATATTTTATTAAATTTTGAGATTTTCAACAAATTTATTACAACATTAGGTATAATAATTTGAAATGCAATTTTACTTTACTCTTTGATGTAAAATCTTTTAACAAAGAAAAAATGATTGGTTAAGTTTTAGAATGAAAGAATGTTGCAACTTTGAGGCCACCGGAGTTTCGTGTCTTTCTGCTCTCGGAATATATAAAAAATTTGTCGGTCCAATAATTGGCAACAGACGGCTGCAATGGCGGTCTGTATATATCGCACCTTTCCCTCTCCACGAAATCAAAGCTGCTGCTCCAGCTCGGCAACGTTTCCGACAAAACCGTTTCGATCACCTATTGCCATTGTTCACAGCAGCAGCCCCTTTCCGAACAATGCTACATTCGCCCCTAATTTCGCATCCCTTATTGTCCACCCTCTGCCTCTGACCACCCCTTCTCCTTATTATTATTCCGGGGTGCGTTCACAGCATTTTGTCCAAAAAATATGCTGTCGAGATTTGTATTAAAAAATCCGCGCGCCGACGGGCAAAAAGAAGCAGAAAGTGAAACTGGTTTTTAATAGTTATTTCTGCTGGCAGCGGCGTCCGGTGGCTCGGATAATAATAATTATTGTGCGGCCGGCTGCTTTAATACAATTTTGTCATTCAATAACGAGAGCGCCGGCCGGTCGGTCATGGCTTGAGAAAAAAGCGCCCGAGTCGCGATTCCGCTCACGTAGCATCCCGAGATATATTCCGAGAGCGTGTGCAATATAAGAGAGAAAAGTCACTGCTGCGCCGAGAGCAACTAATAAAAAAAGAAAGGTCCGTCCTTGCTTGATGGTGGCTTGTTGGCTTCTTGTCCGACCGAGATGTTATAGATTACTGCAGTAAAAGAAGCGGTAGACCACACCTGCTTATGGCCACCGCGGCGCGCGCGATCAATATTTACAAAAGCAGCGCCGAGACCGCATGCACCAGAAAAGAGAGACCTTTTTCTTTCTTTCTTTCTTTCTTTCTCTCTTTCATTATATTATACAAGTCGTGAGACGGCGGCCGGGCACCTCCTTTCCACTCACCTCGACTTTTTTCGTTCGAATCGCGTCCGAGCAGGGTGTGGCCACTCGGATCAATCTGGGCAGAAATTAATCGCGGGGTGCTGCCCCGGGTCCAGCGGCAGCTGCGCACAGCCGCGTGCGGAAAAATGGGGTTGGCCCTCATTGGCCGGCCACTGGTCACTCTCACTTCTTGGCTAATATCGATCACCTATGTCGAGGTCCGGCCGCCCACGCGCATTGATTCTCAATGGCAAACACAAGGGGTGACTCGAGCGACTGAAATGTTTGAAAAAACGAATTAAAACGATAAAAAAATCAATCCCAAAATAGTATTGGAAAAAAAACAACAGCAATACGGATCTGATAACAAATAGTTGATTTTTTAAAATATTTGGCAACTATACTCATTAATTTGCGTTTGAAAATCAAAACTATATTTTTTAACTTTTTAAGTATTTGATAAAGACATTTTATCTTTAAATCAATTTATAAACACTTATATACATTATTTATATAAAATTTAAAATTTATTTCATTTTAGCACTATTTTATTATAATTTATTCAGAACTCGCCTTTTAGTAAGCTCTATTAACTTTTTAAACTTTTACTGATTTTATTAATATTTGCTTAGGCATAAGGGTATCATGTGTTTTTCATATTTCTTTTAAATAAAATATATCTCTATAGTTCATGGGTGGTGTGAAAAGTTGAAAGGTTAAGATCGACGAAATTATCACAATTTACTAATGACATTTATCATGTGATAAGTGATAATAGATTATCCATTTTTTTATTTATACAAATTTTCAAAATAAAACATTCTCCTAAAGAAAAACTTTTAATTAATATTCATGTTTAGCAATTTATTTTTCACAAAATTTTAAACAGACCTCTTTGTCCTTCATGTTCTGCAGCAGTTCTGCTGAACAATTTAGCCCCATTTTTGTGTAATGTTTTATTTGATTGTTTAAATCAACAATTTTAAATGAATTTCGTATCTAAAGAGAATTTCATCTCTGTCCACAGCTGACGCGGAAGTGGTCCAGGACATCCTGACGTGCGGCGCGTGCCAAAAGCCGTTCGCGCTGGCCGACATCTGCAAATTCATCCAGCACAAGAACCTCTCCTGCAACAAGGAGAACTACTCGTGCGGCTTCACCGGCGCCGAGCAGGACGTCAACGAAGACAGCGACGACGGCGCCCAGCCCATGAACGTCAACTCGCGCCGGCCGAGCATCTCGGCGCCCATTTCGGGCAAAAAGGGCCCCCAGACGGCCACCGCGCCCTCCTCCCTCCTGGACGCGTCCTCGAGGCTTGAGGAGCGACTCGGGGTGACGGCGCCACCACCGTCGCCGCAACACCCCGGCGCCTCGTCCTCGCACGACGCCCTCCTCGCCGCCTCCAGCCCCGGCAGCCGGCCGTCCTCCAGGGCGCAACAACTGTCCGCCTCCGGCGAGTTCAAACCGCACATCAAACAGGAGTCGGACGCCGAACGATCCAGAGCGTCCAGGTCACCAGATGTGGCCGACGCTTGCTCCAACACCGTCGTATCAGGTAAGGAAATCTTGAATTAATATTGGGGGATTTTTAAAATTTATTTCTTTTCTAATTTTTATAAAGTTTATTTAACTTTTTCGTAAAAAAAGAATCTTTTTATTTGACTCAAATATGTTAATTTTTCCTCGGCACATCTAAATTTTCATTTTGATTTCTTGTCAATCAATTACAATTTAAATTATGATCATTTTTTTTAAAAAAGAATCATAGAAGCTCTTCCATCTTTATATTAATTAATTCTTACTAAATTTTTTACTTTTTAATTTTCTTAAAATTTAATTTGCGTTCAAAATTTTTATAAAATCGATAAAGAAACGTTTTAAAGACGGAACCTCATTAAGACCAATGAACAATTTTGTCAGACAGCTGCGGTAATAAAAAGAGTTAAAAAGTGCGACCGCCGTCGTTAGTTAAGTCCATATTTAACAACTTTAATGTTTTTTATTTTAATTTTAATACTGACCAGCTGAACCAATTTCGTACCCTGTAATTTAAAATCAAACTCTAAATGGCGATAAATATAAAATTTGCCATAAATCATAATCTAAATTGGCACACTCGTCTGATGTAGGTAGAGGCGACGATTAAGTATTTATAAAATTTGCCTCGTTCTATCGACACTTGAGGGGAAAAGCAGGTGCGTCTCCCAATACACTTCAAAACATACCTGGGTCAATACCCAATTATGGAAGAGTCGATTGGCTTGTAAATTTACTTTTAAATTATGTAAAAAATGTATTACGGGAAAATATATAAAAATAAAGCCCGATGATTTAACCCCCAGGTGCAAAAATTCGTAAATATTTAACTTTTTTTCAATTTTTTTCAATAAAATTAAAAAATACTTGCATTGGTCAAATATAAAAAAAAAAATTAATGAACTTAATTAGCTGCCAATTTGAGATTGAATTCGATCTTTGATTTAAATTTTGTTTAAATATTTAAAAGAATATTAATATTAATTTTACATATGCATGCAAGTTTTCAGTTTATTCAGATTTAACCTTCGGAGAAAATTTCCCTGGTTTCGCAGCAAATATTCAATCGCCGGCGGGACTTTGGCTCTCGAATGCACACCGGCTCATTGCCGATGCATCTCAGGTCGCGTCTGCATGGCGCTTACTTCGTTTCGCGTTTTTTCGTTTTTTCACTGCAATTCGCTAGTTGCACCGGTTTCGTCACGTTTGCAGCGCGCGGATTCGGTTTCAATTATCCCCAGATGGACACGAAAAGCGGCACATGCGACAAACAAGGCAATCATTAGCGCCGCGCCGGCGAGCGAAAATCAGCGCAGAAAATGAGTTTTAAAAAAAACGAGGTCTCGGAGCTTATTTGAAAAGAGTCACGCTGGGCAGCAATTGAAAAATCATCCCCGCGCTTTGAGCTCTTCGAATTCACACAACACAATTAACACAATTAGTGGCGGCGTCGCCTTGTGGCGGAGAAATAAAAAAAACCCGCGCGGGCTGCTTTTCCCTCATTCAACCAAAAGCTGCAGCGTCGTTCCTTTCCAGCTCTGTGTGAAACCTTTAATGAGAGCCAGCCAGCCAGTCCTTCAGCTGGATCATATTATACATGCACACAACCGTCCATACATATACCCCCTGGTAACTTCTCTCTCTCTTTATTTGGTCATGAAAGGGATGAAAAGGCGAGAAGCGCCAAGTGGTTAAGAGGGTTGCATACACTCTCTCACATTCACTGGTCCACTCGGCCCTTGAAAGTCATGCAGCCGCATTATATTCCTCTATGAAGACCGGCTCGTGAAAAATCCTCTTTTGCATCCCTCCGAGCGGAACTTTTCCACCCATTATGTGACCGCATAATGGAAAAATAAAAAAGGGCCGTAGAAAGTGAGTGAGATCGCCACAAGATATGAATGTGCGGTGTGAAAAGTCAAATTTTCACTGACACCAGCAAAAAGATTACTGACACATAAAATTTAAAACAGCAACAACTGCTTACAAAGATCTTTATAAAAGTAACTTTTTGTAATTCAAAGTAAAATTCTGTAATTAATATAAAATTATAGGTTTTAATTTATTTTATTAAATGTAATTACAATTAAAAACTTTTTTTTATAATTTTTTTATTTTCATCCGTTTAAATTGAATAACACTTAAATATAATGAAAATATATGTTTAATTGTGTAATCAAGATAATATAAATAATGGTAGTATCATCAGTGGTGAATGCGCAGTGATTGACAACTTTATGGATTGTAGGTCTAAATTCGTTCCATTGCAATTAATATTAGCTAATTCAAATAATTATTCTGAAATGTTTAATTTTACCTGTTCATTCAACTTGCTATGTGAAGTTCAAAGCAATCATCTATTTATCCTGTAAAAATATGAAGTAAATCAAGCAAGTACATTCGTACGAGAGCAATCGATTTCGACGCCTGCCATCAAAATCATTAAGTGATGCTGGAGCCGCGCACTCGCTTTCAATGAAACTCGAACGCGCGCCTCGCGAGCGCGTCCACCTTCCGAATATGGTAGCGAAAAATATTCAATGAGCCTGATGTGCGCGGTGATGTATTTCAACAAAAGCGCAGGCACGTGAATTAAGGCGGACGTGAGACGCACATTAAAAAAGCAGCCGGCACACGCTTATTGTAGAAACAACTGTGGAAGAGTTAAAAGCGGGACGAAATGATTTTTAGTAGCGCCACCGCCGTATTAAGAAAGTCGCGCCACGGCAAATTTGGTCAATTAGGATGTTTGAGAAATCACGCGAGACGCCGCCGCTCAAAACAATGAATGATTCATCGATTCAAATGAGAAGCGAGACGACTCTGCAGGATTAAGAAAGAAGTTGGTTGACTGCGCTGGCTTTTTATTCTCTTGCGACGAGGAGTAATTGGAGACGCCGGTCGTGCTTCGGAAAGGGGCTCGCGGATCAATTTGAATATTCGCCTCGCCCCGAGACGCGAGAGATGGACGGGCCAATCTCGAGTCGTAAATATTTGCTCTTGGTCTAAAAGTGCCTCCACAGTGATCGGCCCCCGTTAATTTGCATTTTAATTTCTTAATCCTGCGGTAAATATTTGTAATGCAGTTTCCCTTTTCTTAAAAGGGGGAAAAATCCATACAAATAAATTTTTTGCATATTTTTTGAAAAGTAACAACATTTTTCTATAAAACTCGTGTAAAATTTAAAAAACTTCAACGTTTTATTGTGGAATTAATTCTATATTAGCAAATCAAGGAGTTTCTTTAACCAAAGTTTGATCCAAAATAATTTACTAAAATTATGGGTGCAGCTTATTTTAATTAATTCCAAATAATTCAAATTTAATTGTTTGTTTTATAGGCCACTTGCAAAAATTCTCTTCCAACACTATCGCCGAGTTTTATAGTTCATTATTACGCCTCATGGTTATTTTTTTTCTCCTTTAATGAAGATCTTATCACCTTCAAGTGTAATCAACGGCCTGTTTTAACAGGATCGATGAGCACCCAGTCTTCTTCTTCAAGAACACGCTGATATTACGCGCCAGTGTCAATTAACATAATTATAATCATGTTTGAAGACTTTTTGCTCCATCTCGGCAGGTGATATTTATTTGGTAATTAAATTGCTGGCTCTCCCGCTTTATTTTTTACGATATATTTGAATAACAAGATTATTATAACAGAGCAAGAGCAGCTTCCAACTCATGCCGCTCTCTATTAATTAGCGATTAAACGCACGCGGCGGCACCTGCGAATTTCGCGCGCGGCCCATTCACGCACACGAGGCCGAATCGAAATGTTATATCCTTCGAAACGCAGGTGCAATTTTTCTAGCCGCCCTATAAATTCTCTAGTCGCACCTATGCCGGATTTTGCGAACTGATTAAAACTGCAAAAGAATTTGGCCGGGCAAATTTATTATATCATTAGCCACGGCACCTTTTCACCAATAAACACCGAAATTTTATTTGATTCAAATACAATTATTTGATAAAAAAAAGAAAATGTTTCTTTGACAGCTGGAAATTTGTTGCTAATTTGCCAAAAACTTAATTAACTCTAAAACTAATTAATTTTTATTTTCACCCTAAAATAAAATCTGATAACACTTTAATCATTTCAAACAAAACGGTTTTTGTTTATATATTCATTTGCCATCTGCCCGCCTACCTAATTCGAATTAAGGCGGACGCACCTTCACTTATTCGAGACTCTCTCGTCCGGCGTCGTCGCCCGCTTGTCATTATTATTATTATTGTGATTCAATCAGGATTAATAATGAATCTCATTTGTAATGCCAGGCCTCAGCTGCGAAGGAAAACACAATATTCCATTTGTAATGTGATGAGATTATCATTTAATCATTCACACACTCGGCGCGGCTACTACACTCTCTGCCGCAACAATAATTTAAATTGGACGCCCGGTTGAAATAAAAAAAAGAAGAAGCAGAAACTGCTTAGCCGGTGCTGCAATCAGTTGGTGAAAATGAACAAGAAAGAAGCGGCCAGTAATTGCATCGCAAGATGAGAAGCTCCAATCTTTATAATCCGTGCCAGTAGCAAATTATAATCATTTATAATATGCAGAGGTGCGAAGTAATAAGAAAATAATTGCAGACTCACGTTACTTTGAATTTGTATAATCCTGAGAAATGATAAAAGAATAAATTAATCATTCGGGAAAACGGTTGTTGCAAGAGCATCTGTTTCGAACAAAACAATCTGGAAATTTGAATAATTATTACCAATTTAAAACATTCCGAAATGGGCGGTCAGCGACGTTTATTGATAAAAATTAGAATTCCTTTTGCCATCTAATTGATATTCTGCCTGCCCTAATCAGTTCTAAATCATTTTTATTTTCGAAAAGGGTTGAGAGTAGGGCAGGTGGTTGAGATATAAAACTGCATGCAAGGTGGAGGGGCGGCCGACTGCTTTTTTTACCTTTTTTATTCTCCTGAATAAAACTAGCTGGACAGCACCGCGTGTCAAAAAATGCTGTTGCTCGCCAGAGATAAGTACAGTGGCCATGAC